AGTCAGTCAACTCATGCACTGTTCATCTTTTATGCTGCTCACTGTCTTCAAATTGAATAAGCACTGCTTTTCCTTAGTAATAAATAAAAAATAAATACATTTATATTCTCGGTGTTGCACGAGGAACGTCAACAAGGCATGGTCAGAATATGTACAAGCTAACCTGCGACGATCAAAATGTGAACAATCTTGGTCTTGACTTTGGGAGTGAGCGGCTGAATGATTTCCAAAAAATGATATAAGGTTGTGATAACAGTTCGAACTCACAGCTGATTCAGTCTAGAAACAGATTGTTGATACAAATACGAAAATTGTTAATACTGACGTAATATGATAGTGAAATTTGCTCCAAGTAAACGTTGTTCTGGCCTGAAGCTGATCGATTGCGCTGTTATTCGCAGTCGTCTGATATCTATTTTTCATCGCCTGGCGTATGATGCGTTCTCCTATGGCCGCATTGGGTTTCAATCTTTTCTAGTTGACCGATATCTGTTAGGGGAGGTTAAATATCTAAGTCACTAAATTTTGGACCATCCAGTTGTTGAATAGTTGACCAATGCCAAAAGAAGTATCTGTGAGAAACTTGGAAGTTGACACCACGGTGGAAATAGGCAAAAGACGATCAGTTTACTTGTAACGTTTAGCTTATGAAACAGGGTTACAAATCTAACAAACTTACGTGGTACCGAAGGTAGAAGCGGACATTCAAACACGATTGTGTGGCGCTGATAAGAATGATCTGCGTGCATACATGCTTGTAAAGATAGGACATCATTCCATGCTCTTGGCGTATATAAAACTAATACTAAGCTACGAACTTCCGTTCAATGTTTAAAATGTTCATAAACATGATCTGTCACATAGACGGTTGGGAACATGTTGTCTTAGGATAAACAATCAAGGAACACCTCTTATTCTAAAAACGGATACAGCGACACTTTAACGGAAATGTGTCCTGTCAGCTAGCGACTCTCTTTGTGTGGGTATATCGCAGCATGTATTTGCTACAAAATAAGAAACGATCATTTCGATGTGTTTTAAATACTTTTCGGTAAGTGACTTAAGTCAACATTGCATGTATACACTTATGAAGCAGTGGAAGTTTCGATTAGTTGGAATCTTGGTTGCTAAATTACCCTCGACGACAAACAGTTTCTACTAACGTTGCAACTGTGAAAGTATTCCATACGGATTGTCCTCGTTGTATGGAACCTCCTCACATTGTAGCTGATAGTTCAGTTTATGGAAGTAGTACTTTAATTTATTCATTTAACCATGCATTTGCTTCCTTAGTTGTTCTGTTAGTCACTCTTTGCCCAACAAAAGTTTGTACTCATTTCTGTTGCCTTTGACATAAAGTGAATGCGCAGGAAATTCAGCTGCACCTTAGATACTTGCACCCATGGAATACGGGGGCAAACTGGTTTTCTACGCAAAATCGTACCTAGTCTTTTTCATTTCATCCGTGTCATATACTGAACACTGGGGCACGCGTTCGCGTCACCCCGCTGACCGCACAGTGCCAGAAAACCTGCAATAATGACCAGTTACTGCATGTTCCGTGTTAGGCAAGCATTTAATGATGGCGGCTGGCCTTACCACAGCTATGCTACATAGGATAACATGTTGAATTATGATCTAGTAAGGTAGCAATGACATAGCGAACATGAGCGCTCTGCATAGTGTATGGGCGATGGACAGCCGCATTTAGAAAACAACTTGTCGACTCTTCGCTGTGAAGCGGAAACCACTGATGATGCTTGAGTTTGTTCAACCGCGAAGTCGCTTAATCCCACGCTGATTTGCACCGATGACTTATGTATCATAAGAGAAATGCCTTATCCTTTCGTTCTCAGTTCGCCTTGAGCAGTGGGTAACTAGCGCTTGTCTTGGTCTAAAATTGGGCTTCAAAGCTGAAGCATTAAGTTGTGGTCTAAACGCAAGTTGGTAGTGCGAAGCGCAAAGTGAAAGATGCAGCAGTACATAACCACAGTTTAGACCCTCGAGCAATTGGTATATTTATCATAGGCTTATTGATCGTGCACATAATTTGTAAGTTATTTGTGTATCTCTGAACATTTTGACACGCAACCTACTACATTTTGCATACAACGAACTCCATAGGTTGGACAATACCAAGGTACTATATTACCTAGACACCGAATGATTTTTCTTATTTTGCTTACCACAGCCTGAAGGTCAGGCACGTTAAAACCTTTGCGAACTTTTAAAAACATCAGCTAGCGGCCCGTATTTTCGTGTCTCTTATCCTTTATCTAAATACCTGATAATTTATTCTCTCGTGAATCTATCAAATATTTGCGGCTTATAGGACGCCAGAATCCATTTTTTCTCTTTGTCCAATAAAATTGTAAAATTTATTGCAGAACTTTAAGCGTTATTGAAAACGTCAACGCATCGAACAGACTATAGTCATCCCACAAAGCAAAAATATTTGATGTCATGTTTGAACATGGTCCGACGATTACAGTGGTCCCTAAGTGTTTGAAAATGCGACAAATCCTCCTAAGGATGAAGTGGGGAGCGCGTACAAATGACAAGTTGAGTGATTGATCAAACATTATAAGTAGCTCCGCGAAAACTCCAACAGGCCGAAGTTACTACACTGGTAGTAGCTTGTTGAGAGGGGTGTACAAATAATGCTAATCTTAAAGAATGTTTCTGTTTTCTTATGCGCTTTAAATCGTGGCGGAATTTCAATTCAAAACGGAAGACAGTCCACACATGCATAATTGCAGCTTCCAGTTAGCAAGGTAGGACGCCACTTTTTAATTTATCAATGGAGATTTCCTGCCGCTTGATAATAAAAGTAAAGAAAAATGAAGGCAAAATCCAACAGTGCTATTGTTACTGGTCTGCACGGCCCTGCAAAACACAAACGCGTTCCAATGCCAACTGGAACTGCGGACCCCAACAACAAACCCGGGATTTACACGCGCCATTACACTGCGTGCCGGCACAACACGGTCGCTATGCAGAGGCGCAAAGTACCCAGTTCCGAGCGGATCTCTTCCTACGGAAGCTGCCGCCAAGGGTCCAATTAACTGCACAATTCTCAGCAAAGTTGTCCTCAGTGAAAACACGGCCAACGTATTCCGCACAGTTTCTACTGCACTAGCCCCAGTCTCAATATGGCATCTCCCGGACTCTCTTCAAGTCACCCGTCCGTCTGCTGAGCCGTGTCTATGTCATTTCCTTAGCCATCAAGCACAGTCAACAACTCCACTGTACCAAACGTCCCAACACCATCGAATCCACCCATCTTTGTCCGGGGATAAGATCAAGACACGGCAACTCACGTGCCAACAAACATACACCTTCTAATTTATACCAGCAATACTGTCTTAATGAACCATAAATATAAAGATGCAGAAAGTACGGTTGCGTTGGTTGAGTCAGTAAAGTACTCTTACTACTGGTCAGTCTTCTCTCTACGGGTCTCGGTACAGTCATGCGGCCTACACACGTTCTGTCTGCCTTAAGAGTTACTAGTTCACCTCGGCCTGCTAAGTCCACTAGTTGTTCTAAAATGAATCGTCAAGGCTACTCCGCGCGTGGGAAATAACGAGCGAAGAGTTTGTCCATTCCGAATTGGACAGCCCAAATCCAATCAGGACGTTTGCGGCAGATAGATATTTTTCCTTTTCCAAAACCTCTGTAGTATACTGTATAAACCAGGGCCTTGTTAAAATCCTTGAAAAAATCGTGTCCTACCTTCTTCAGTTTCTTAGACTTAGTTTCTGCTTAACCACATTCGCTGCGTATCGTGTGGTTTTATTTGTTCCTACAAACTGCTTATGTTTAACTTTTGCAAAAGTTGTCTTTGTCGTAACACATTTTCTGCAGCATCAATGACATATCACCCCACTCATTATTCTGCTCTAATTGTGACCGAGGATCACAAGCTTTACCTACTCAGTTTTCTGTTATTTTCGTTCCGCTGAAGAAAAATGTAGAATAGTTAAGCTAACATATATCACTTTTGATCAATCTACTTGTCGTGAAACGATGGGAGATGCCTGATTGAAAGAAGGTTCCCAACATTTCACTTTACCTATTAGATTGAGACTTATTCGCCTATAGATGTGTTTAGTTAGGTAACCTTACTTTTGTGTGTGTTAGGCGCAGTCATAAATACTTTGATTCTTGTTTCTACAAAGTAATTTTCCTAATTTTCCTCCTGGTTGGTTGTGCGGATGCTTAATAGTCCACATATACTGAGTCCAACAAATTATTGTCCACAAGCTCCAAAGTTTGGTTTCGTCTATTTTTCCGATGCCCGCAGAGTAACCCATGTCATCTAATTTACTAATTTTATTTAACCAATCCAAACGAGGTTGGTGTTTTGATGGAATTGTGTATCGGATGAAGCAGGCTGATCAAGATGATCACCGAGGCAATCCATCATATACGAGCTGAACGGCTACGACTATATAACGCACCAAGTTCCGCTATCAGGATAGTGTTTGCTAAATACTGTTTAACTGGAGTAAAGAGAAAGCACTACTAGTCGCATTGCGCCGTTGTGCATGACAGTGGCCAAATAATATTTATGAAAGCACGGTGCGAACGTGCTAGATAGCATTTTCCCCTATTTGGTTTACCCCAATAAAATGCTTACCTCAAATAACCGAATTCGACGACTATAATAAGGCTACTTGGTTGCAGTCTAAAGTTAATAATGCATAGCTATATTCTTTGACGACTGCAAGATAATTGCACATGTTGTGCAGTAATCACATGAACAATCAGTCACTGACGTCGACGAAATGATGCAAGCGATCCTGATGCTGCTGACCCATGCTGCTTGAGGCTATTTGGTGTGTGATGCAGCCTAACTAGATTTTCAATCTTATTTTCAACGAACAACTCCAGAAAGATTGCCTACAAATGCATAGATAGATCACAGAAAGTTTTAATAAAAAGAAGTACACTAATAGCTTTCATTTGCTTACATTGCTTAGGAATTCAACACTTCAATGATTTTATTAAGCGCCAAGTTGCGGTGTAAACTGAAGGTTCAAGTGTATCCAACCTTGAATCCAAACAAAGCCAGATGGTCTGTGGAGTTTCGGACAGCATCACATCGGTTCGGTGGGAATACGGAAAGCATTTGGCCTACAGATCCTACAGGCAATTGCTCAAAATTACAATTTGGGAGGAGAAATGAAAAATGGTGTGTCGCACCACTTATGGTATGTTATAAATTAAAAAGAAACCTGTGGATATTGTCCGTTTTATGACGCCTAATCGCATTATATGTTTTAGGAAATATGAGTTAGAACTGTTCTGTCGATAGAGGCCGAAACATAGGTGGAAAGACCAGTTGGCTCCGTACATATATATCATACTGAAATTGACATCCACAATACTATCGCCTGCATTCATTTATGGTTGCATCGATGGACACCAATTTGGTGAAGTATTTATGGGGCACTTTGGCAAAGGTCCACCGAAATCTGTTCGCAATAGCTGAAAGCGCTGGTGACCAATTGACTGAGCATTATTGCATTGGCGTATTGTCAAGGAAAACAAGTCGTCCTTCATGCTATTGTGGGCTATTGTCACAGTGTGTGATTTATAGTATCAAAGAGCATAAACTGTGAGATGTAAGCCTCTGCAGATAAAGGTTCCATGAATCAAACACTTGGAAAGATAAGTCCAAGGATGTCTGGAATAGCTGAATTGCATTTGTCGCTAATATGTGCGATGATAAACTATGCCAAACGCAATATTTGTTTCTTGGTTTATAAAGGACGGGTGCTTAGTTTCAGACCTGAGTGTGCTACTCGGTGTGATTAGGTTAAATAAGGTCTCGACTTAGAGCAGCTACTGAGATGTAATATACTGTAGATCTTAATGTGGTCAACTTGCGTCCGACGATAAGTCAAAGTGTACCCACACAGTCGCTTGCACTTGTCTTTGTAGTAAACGCCATAAGCTAAATTGGTGGCATTATTGTGGTGTTGGACACGTTTGATCCATCATGTTTCGCCTCACTTGATCAGATGGTAATTAGGACATTGGTTCTACAGCATTATTTTCGTGACGAAGGAAAAAATTGTTATGCTGTCTTCAAACAAATTACAGCAATTGTGCTTACGTGCCGGGATCACTCAATGTTCGTTTTGTTGTAACTTCCTACCAATGCCCAAACACTTCAAACTGCAGCGTGTTAAGTTTTGTTTATCCTTGACAGCAGGTGTAAAATGGAGCTGCTGCTCATCCAGTGGGTAATTTCGGTTGTCAGCATCCTTCCATAAACTCAAGAAAACAGACTTGACTGGATTAAGTGAGAGGTTAACATCTGTAAACCACGTAGGTTATGTTTTTGATGTCATGCTGAGGCATGTCGCAGTTGTCAAGAGAAAAAATTTCGTTTTGAATACTTTGCAAACTTTATATAATAATTCAATTTGTAGTTTTATTTACTTCGAAATAACTTGCTAACTCGAAACAACTTCGTAATCGCGTTTTGCAGTTACAAATGAATGTTACTACGCATTTTGTAGCGAATTCGTAGCTGCATTCCTCGGTTAAGATTACTTCAGATAGGTATTCCCCTGATTACTTACTGTGTATTGTGTTAATGCTTACTGAGTGCAATACTTTCAGCCTGTATAATTAAGGAAGGTCCAATTTTTAAACCTCAGTTGAACAACGAATATGCCATGAACGAACTCCTGGAATGTGCTCAAGCTAAGGATGTTATGAATATTCCCGGCCAAGTTTTGACAACAGCCAAATTCCCATCACCAGAATCCAATTGTGCTTCGCCTACCCCAGTGCAATTGTTTCATGAGCTCATCACAAAGTTTGAAACGCGCAACTGTGAAGATTTCCCTCTAGTAAAGACGGACAGCTCACGTTCCGCGTCTGCGAAACGACGTGCCGAGACGGACCAATGGAACACAACCAGGATACATAACATTCAGCATTTTGGTTTAATACAAATAGAGCTGTGGCTCTCTCACTTCATTTATACCGCCTTTTTCACAACTGTCAATAATAAATATGTTCATAAGCAACCAAACACTCAGGTTCCTATGCAGCGGAGTTACCCAGAGCCCATCGTTGTTCCTTTTGAAAAATTGCATTATTGTGGATCAAATGTCTACCGACAAACTGTGAAAAACAAAATATCAGATATGACACTATTAAATATGCACAACTGCATGAACATGCGGTGCGAAAACATTCATGCAGCGACAGATCTCATAAGCCAGCTGTCTGGTTTACGCACAACAGTACAGTTCTCTAGATTTCTGAAAACACGACTGCCTGGAGCAAACGCTGATGCAATGCTTTCATTATGTCTTCATGGAGAACTGATGCAGCAGACAACAATAAACCAGGTTCGACTAATGTGTGAGAAAATTTGTAATTATCTGACCACTAACGGAACAATGCACATTAACTGAAGAAGTGAGAATATTTTGAGCATTTGTTTTAAACTGTTTTTGGTGACTTCACAGCCTGCACTCCCTATAGTATAGTGTTAAACCTGAAGATGCAGTGATTTGGCTTCATTTTGTAACATATCTTCAGGTATACGTGTATTCGATATATTGTCTACACTTTTTCTGACAAATACGCGACCTAGACATGTTGGTGGCAATGCTATAATGTTAGCGTACGTAGTTAAACGGTTCTCAAGCCATCGTGAGATTTCATAAGCCATCAAATAATGGATACTACTTTAACGGAAGTAAAACAATGGCCAACGTGTTCCGCTTCACTAAGCACGTAAAGTTTGGTGGCTATTAACAATTCTTCAGCCGATAGGAACAGATTTTGAGAAGTTGGTTAATTAGTTAGAACAACTAAACCATGACATGGATCAAATAACATAATCAGCTGGGGGCTAGCTTGGCTAAACGCAAATATTCAGCGGATACCGTAATAGAAGAGGCGGGCACCCATGTTGTGGGTGCATCATACTTCTACAAGGTTAGTGTTCAACTTCATGCTGCACACAGAGGTTAAGTCAACTTTGGACTACGACAGTAGGATCCAATCAAACACAACTGTGCAACGATCACTCTGCTCTTATAGTATCTTCGCGTCAGCCCGTTCTACGCTTGAAACACATGTTTTGCTTGAACAATGAACAATGATTTATCACGGGATAAGAGCAAGTGCTTGACACGTCCCGTAGGATTGTTGGGGTGAATATGATGAAATCAAAATATATCTGGGTCATTTACCGAACGTCTGCCTAGATGAATACTTTGAGAATTTACATCTGTGTTAAATTAAAAAATCGAGCATATACGTTCAGAAATACAAGGGGGTACAGTGATCGTTGATGTAAGGCGTGAGAAAAGTAAAATATGGCCGCTCACTTGGGTCCTTTTGATACATAAATCCTGTTGAAAAGCATGCTTGGCGTAATTCACAAAAGAAGTTTAGGTAACAAAATGCTGGGAACTAAGCGCAACATCTAGTCGTTTTTTGAAAACCTCCAAGGTAGGGGGATACAAGTGAGTCTGGGAGTGCGTTCCAGGGTTGGCAAACCCGAAGGGAAAAGTAATTTCGTTGACACTCTAGACGGTTACATTGTTCCTTCAATTTTAAGCAGTTACCCCTGAGCTGCGTGTTGTGACTAAGTTTCAGCAAATGGCGGCATACGTGGTTGGGGTCACACAATATCTGATGCGCTAATATGATATCTCCGCCGAGCCTTCGATAGCATCCGCTGAAAATTTTCAGCAACTTCAGCCTTCGGTGTTAATAGTGGTAGCGCAGGCCATTTACATCTTTGTTGCTGTTCGTTGTGGGGCCTGAAACGCTTCTAGGTCGCGCTTCAACCAACGTTGCCAACCTTGGATAGCGTATTCAACATGCGAAAGTGCGTAGGAATTGTGCATCATTGGGAAGATTAATGGGTTAAATCTCCCGAATGCCCTTCGCAGCATGCCGACGTGCTGGATGCCTCTTTTCGCAGCTACCTCAGCCAGTTTTGAACAGATGAGGTCGCTCTGTACGATCACACCAAGGTCACGTTCATGGAAGGTGGTCTGCAATCCGTTTGTCCCAAGCAAATAGGTATAGTTATGTCTATGGCGTAATTGTACAACGCCACATTTGTCTACGTTGAATGGTAGGGCACTTTGAACTGACCAGTTCGACACTGTTAAGATGGCAATGGAGCCGTTCATGATAGTCCGGTCCTCTTATCCTTCGTCATATCTTGATATCAGTAGCGAAAAATAGAAAATCGGAAGCAATTGCTCTCGACAAATCGTTAATGAACACCAAGAATAGACGAGGTCCAAGTGCCGAGCCTTGTGATATTTCACACGCCACATCGATTGCATCAGACAATGATTCTCAGACTCTCAACACTAGCCGTCATTCGTGTAGCAAGTTGCTAATTCAACTCAGAATTGGGTAGCCAATGCCGTAGTTCCGAAGCTACTGAAAGCGAATTCGATGGTCTAAGCGATCAAATGTTCCAGGTAGATGACATCAACAGCTTCTGTCCAGCTATTTCGTGCAACTAATAGGTTACTAGTACACGAATGCTTCTGACGAAAGCCATGTTGCTCTGAGGTTATTAAGTTGTGGCTATCAAGATACTGCATCAACGCATCTGCGATGATTGATTCCATCAATATGGAAAGCACAGGAAGTAGTTTAATTGGACGGTAGTTGGCAGGATCAGTGCGGCTACCTGCTTTATGGATAGAAGTGATGACCCCTCGCTTCCATACTGGTGGAATACGATACTTTTCTAGACATCGTTGATAGAAAACAGCCAATGGTTCTGCTAGATCACTAGCTACCGCTTGCAGAACCTTTGGTCGGATGTTGTTGACTCCAGGAGAACTGTGGATATGTAAGGATAACAACTTCTTCAGCACAGCTTTCGCCGTAAAGATTATGTCTAAACCAGATGGTGGAGTAATAGAAATGAGGAGAATGTTCGTGCTCGTTACCTGCTGGAAAGTTTGGGAGTAATGAAGCCGTAGGAATGCAGCTGCTTCCATTGCTGATCGTGTACACCTATCAGCCGTGACTAGTGCTGGAATCATCCGCTTCAACTTTCCAAGTCCGTTAACGTGCCTGTACAGAAGTTTGCGGTTCGTGCAGAATCGCTTCATTTACTCCTGCTGATGCGTGACCTTGTCTTTGCGGATCATGTTCACAC